TTCTAAATAAAATTTGTTTTTCTATATTTAAATTTTCTTCTATTAATTGCTCTTCAAACATAATAACTTTTTTTAATGCTTCATATGCTTCTGTAATTGTAATTATAGATGATAAAAATTCTTTCAATTCTTTTTCCAATTCTTCTTTCAAGTCTTCAATAATACCAGCTTCAATTTGTGCATCAGCTAAAACCATATCTACAATTTCGATATCTTCAAGAATATTTTCAATTGCAGGTGATTCATCAATAGCAAGAATATAATCTTGAATATTTTGTTGTATATCAGATGGTAAATCGTTGGGTATATCAATTGATATTTCTAATTCTTGAATATAGGAAAGAATATTTATTTTGTATCAATAATTTTGAATTGTAATAGGTATTACTTCAAGCTATAATTGAATAATATAATCAATTGCTTGTTTTATATTTAATTTATTCCTAAAAATAAATTAATATTAGATAAAATTATATAATAATACATATGCATATAAAAATACAGTATATTAACTTACTCTACAGTAATGACCTGTAGGCAATGATTTTATTAATTAGAGGATTTATCCAAATTAGTAAAGGAGCGAAATATTATTCCCTAGGTTGCATTTAGAGAAATAGTTTTTCGACAACGAGTAAGTCAGTATGTGAAAGTCACAATAATTTATAAATACCTAACATATATACAATAAAGACACGCCATGCTGACCTGACTGCGGGTTAAAAAAAAAAAAAAAACAAAAAAAAAAAAAAAAAAAAACAGTATATTAACTTACTGTTCAAAATTAATTTTTTGTTCAAATTGATGCAAAATATATTGACAGTACAATTGTTTATACTTGGCTTTAAATAATCTAATGATACCTGAATTCATCGGTTGAAGGTGTGATGTAGTGTTTAGAGGAAGATAGCGTAAAGTAATATTGATCAATTGATTATCAATTTGAATATAATGAGATATTATATTATTAATCAAGAGTAATATATAGTGACCTTGAATATGAAAACCTTCATTTATATATTTTAACTATGACTCCCATATATCTGAACATATCCATGCTTTAGAATTAAATTTGTAAATAATAGATAGGTTTGAAATATTAATTCCTTTAAAACATCTGGGATTTTTTGTATGTTCAATTACTAAAGGTTGTAATTTGTAAGAACCAGTTGAATTTGTAATAAGAAGAATAGTAATACAAGATTTATCTTATAAAAAACTAATTAGTTTATAATAATATAATATATATATATATATATTTTTTTAATCCACAGTCAGGTCAGCATTTTATAATAATATAATATATATGTAATAATTAATAAAATATAATATACATACTAATTTTTTTTCTGGATTTTAATGTTTTGCAAGAGTTTGATTTGGTCCTATACAAAAGAATAATCCTGTTTTATCAGCATTATATATATCAGTAGGATCAAATTTCGAAGTAATTTCTTTTAATTTTATTTGTTCCTCTAATAAACTTTCAGTTTATATACTTCCTGCTTCACCATGAAGCTTATAAACATGTAATTGATTTTTTTCTTTAAATTTTTGAATCCATCTATTTGAAAATTGTATTTTATTTTCGTGTATATCAAGGAGTTTAGCAAATTCTTTTTCCTTTTCTTTAATTATCTGATTATTAAACTCAATAGCAGTTGCAGTTACTTGCTCTATCCAATAACTTAAAGCTTTATCTAATAATGGAAATTTTACATTTTTGTGTCGAATTTTTTTTTCTGTATTAATTTCAACATTTAACCATTTTTTATTTTCTTTTATTATTTTAGAAATAGTTGATCAAGAAATATCAAAATATGAATATTTGTGATTAAAGTAATCCATAATACTGTCATGTTTTGTTTCATAATGATCTTTAGTATATTAACAAATCTTCTTACAAAGATCATCAGTAATTGTGGATCATTTTGATTTTTTGTATAGAGGTTCTGATATTAAATGATTTAGCTAATCTGCAAAAGGTTAAAAAAAAAATTTAGCATAATAAACTTGTTACAATAAAAATTGAAATATATTTTTCAGATCTAATGTAAGGAAAAAAGACTATACATGGAAAATGGTAAAACGAAAATTAGAATTTTCAAAACTCAAAAGTAAATGTGAAATTGGCTTATTTGTGACCGATTTACGTAACTGTAATTTTGAGATTGATCAAGTTTTTTTTTTTTAATGATTATCTTTTTTCTTTTTAAATGCTATTATTTTTATATCTTTTACAAAGAAACAAAGAATTATGATAAAAGGTAAGGTAGTTATATGCCAGTTTTAGATCTGTTTCTTCGTTCATGATTCCCAGGACTGATTATTAGTTACGTGGTCCGAATCATATAATCCAACTTTTACCTTCCCTCTTCTAGTAGAAAAATCGTATTTGCAAAAATGGAGAATATTAAAGCCAGGTAGTATTATATAATAGGTGATGAATGATTTTTTTTCTTTTTATTTTTCAGAAGAATGAAAAGAGGGATATAACTAGAAAAAGGAGAAATGGTAAAAGAGGTAGATAGAAGTAGAGAAGTAGAGTAGGCATAGAAAAACGGAAGGGAATGAGAAACTGGAAGAGTAATATAATAGAGAAACAGAGGAGTAGTAGGAATGGAGAAATAGATGTGAAGAGAAAATAGGAAAGAAATGAGAATGACTTTTTTTTTTCTAAGAGGTAGAACCGAAGAAAGAAGAGGATAAGAGATAAGATGAAAAATAAAGAGAGGTAGGTAGGTAGAAATGGAAATGGAGGTAGAAGAAATGAAAAAAATGTTTAACTTGATTATTTTTTATTTTTAGGAGGTATAAGCAGAGAGACGAGAAAGCAGAGAAATAGAAAAGAAGAGAAATAAGAGAATAAAATAGAAAGAGAGGTAGGTAAATGGTGTATAATTGTTTAAATTCTTTTATTCTTTTAGATATAAATGGAGAAATATAAGAGTATAAAATGGAAGGAGATAGGAAGGTAAAACAGGAAGATACACTAGTCGAAAAATATTTATTCGGCATAATGCCACTCATGTAACATTCATCCAAAAAAACAAATAATTCAGCATATTAATGATATAAATAAATCATCAATCTATTTCTACCATATAATTTGGCAAATAATTTAGTATAAATAAATCGTCAATCGATTTCTACTATATAATTCGGCATATAATTTAAATTGTCAATCAATTTCTACTATATAATTCGACATTATTTGCTATATTTGCACCATTTTTACTAT